CTGTTTATGTTTAATGTTTTAATTCGTTAGTGTCTTTTGACTAAATGTGCCATTTACAGTCTCAAAATCCCACTGGAGGTTCAGCTATGAGTCGATTCTGACTTCATGGCACTCAAAGGGTTCGCCAAGAACTTGAAGAAGAAAAATCTATGTTCTTTTAAAAGAATAACTGCTGAGAGGTGGAAATTTCAATCAGGACAGAGGTGTAAGATAATAATCTAAGGAAAGCTGGAATACTATTTTATTATAAGTCATATTTAAATTTCATTTTATAATAAGAATTAGACTTTTCTAGCCAGTGTTCTCAGTTTATGGGCAAATATTTATTTTATCAACTGAATTTGACAAAGCTGCAAAAAAATAAGACTCACAGGCTGAATATTTGTTTACATATATTCACAACTGCAAAGATCCCAGTGTGACATACAAAAAATAAAAGCAAGCCTAGCAATCATCAAAGGAAATGTAGTCTTTTCTCCCACAAACTACTTTCCAAGAAGAGATAATAAAAACGTTCCTGTACTCTTGATAATTTCTTCACTAATAGTCAAAGAAGTGAGATTCTGTGTCAAATGTCCCATTGTCTAAAATGCAAGAGTAAGGAGTTTGGTCCTTTAGGACTAACATTAAATAACTTAATTAGTTGTTTTTAAATAAACTATTATGATGTTGTTCAGCTTTTATTCCAGAGGGACCAAAACTAGATTCAAAATGGTATTGGTTTTTTCACAAGGACTGTGTTTAGGCACAGTGGAATATTTTTAAGTTCGCTAGACTGAAAATATATTGGATACTGAAAAACACAGGGGAGTAGACAAATCAACGTAAAGCAAATCTTGCTCAGAAGGTCTTTGAAGTTATATAACTCCAACTATCACGCACTTTACTGTTTAATAAGTATTAATCATAATTTTGATGCTAAGTTTTGTCCTGGATATTCCCAGAGGTAGGTGATAAAATTCAATGCAAGCTGTAAGCACAATTGCTTTAAAAATATATTTCATTTTCAGGTGCATTACAAACCCGTACGGTGAGTACTATGATGAAAGGAGGAGTGAATGCGAAATGTACTCTTGTTAACTTCAGATGTTATGTTTAATGTTATTCTGCAGAATACAGAAAACAAGGTAGTTTTTAAAGTATAGAAAAGTAGAGACATATTAAACAAAGGACATGAGCATAGAGGAAAACTGTTCTGGGTAGAGGAAGGAGTATGCATAAAATCCCAGTTTACATTACAATCACTGTGGTAGTTTAAAATTTCTAGGACATAAACACTAAATGAAAAATATTGCACATGATGAGTCTCATCTGAAATGCAAACAATTTCCAAGAGCTTTGCTAGACACATTAAGAACTTATCATTTAACATAAGGACAAAAGGCCTGAAGGATTTTGTCCAGAGGACAATAGAATGGAACTATGTCTCTAAAATGTAGACTGGGTGGTCTAGTGAGTGAAAAGTCTTGCAGCCAATTCAAAGGCAAAAATGTCTACTCTGCAAGTAGTTCTGTGAAGGAAAGTCAGGAAATCTCATGTGATTTCCAGCCTTTGAAAACCTATTAGAGGGTCAGCTATGAACCAGTTTCATTAGAAAGGCAATGAGTTGGTTGGTTCTGGTATAAAGAGGAGATAAAAGTAAGAGGAAACTGTGAGATGTTTAAAAGTGACAGTCAAAACAAAAGAAAAAAAATATGGCTATAGCTTACTTTTATTGGCATTAAAAAAATCAAAACAAATGGCTATCTGGAAGTTTGCATTTCAAATTCACTAATTGTTATTCAGGCAAAAAGATAGTCTCTTGTGAAGATTTACAAAAGCTGAAAACAACTCAAAAGCATTGGATGGTAGCCCATTAAGGAGTTGAGCTGCTAACCAAAAGATGGTGATTCTCTGAAGGTTCAAATTCATCAGCTGCTGCATGAGAAGAAGTGGTCACTATCCTTCACTGCATCTAGAAATCCGCTACAGGATTAGCTAGAAGTTTGTTCAGACTTGATGGCAATAAGAATTTCTTATTTTAAAAACAAAAAAGTTAATGGCATTACTCATTCACACACCAAAATACATACTCTGATTCTAGAATGTACAGAGATATCACGTTCTTTCCTTATGTGGCCTTTTTAGTAAACATTTAGAATCTCTGATTGGTGCTGATCAGAAAAAGGAGTCCTGAAAGCGAATGACTAAGAGTTGGACTGTTAACCCAGAAGTTGGTGATTTAAACAAAAAATGTAGTTATTCCATGAGAGAAAGACTTAGTGATCTTTCTCTCTTTTTTTTTTATTTTATTAAATTTCATTAGTTTTAATGAACATTTACAGAGATTTGGGGTTTTCATTCATTCACTGTTGCACTGTTTTCTCCATCCTCATTCCCAGTTCGTTCTTCTTTTCCCCCACCCAATGTCTGTTTTAATTGTCCAATTGCCAAAGTGCTTGTCAAAGCCAGTTCTGATTAATATCCTTTGTCAGTGTGTCCCTTGCCATTCCCTGTCACTCCTCCCTGAGAGAGACTTCACCCTGGTTCATAAGGAAAAGGGAATGGCGTATTCTCTTAGCTACTTCCTGCTGAAAAGGGACGCTGTGGGTTTCAGGGTGAATGTCTTCTCTCACTACTCCAAAGGGCCCCCTTGGCAGTAGGAAACACATAGACTATTATGGAGATTGATTTTGGAATTTAGATGCACTGTTATCAATTGTGCTTAGCCGTACATGTTCATATCCTTGAAGATGTATCACGGAAGTGTTGCAGCCTAGAAGATACAAATTTAACTAACAAGTTAAGAGTGCATGAGTCAAAAATTGAAAAGCAATAATATTCTGAGTAGAGGTTCTAATAGTGGCACAAATCAAGTTACAGAGGTAAGGTGGTTCCATTGCCATCCTTACTCTAACCAGGAAACTCTCTACGGAGCACTTCTGCTATACCGTATCAGGTCACTATACTAAAAAGAAATGCAATGATACCTAACAACAGTAATAATTACTAGGAGACTTTTACATGTATGCAGCTGAAGAAGAGAAACTATATTTTCAATCGTAATAGACAAAAATTATGTTCCTGTGTTGTATAAGCAGTTTGTCACCAGTAATTACACTTTAGTGCACTAAACAAGTCAATGATTTATGGAAGGAAAAACCTAGTTATGAGTTTCTATAAAGATTGAAGCCAAGAAAACCACATGGTGCAGGTTCTACTGTGTAATAAAACAGGAGGTAGCCAAGACTCAGAGTGGACACAAGAGGAACAGGTTCATCTTTATGAATAGATTGTGAGTACACAGGCATAGATAAGCATGGGAATAATAAAGATAACGGTTCAGGAAATAGGTTTAAAATAGGTATAAATAAGGGCTAGAAAGCTTTAGAGAGATTATGGAAAACATATAATCTAATATAGAAAAATGAATAAGTAGATAAGTTGGGTAAAGGAATGGTAATATAAATAAGTGTGTGATTGATTCACTTGTTGTCATCAAGTCAGAGCTGATTCATAACTGATCCTCCAGCAGGTTTTCAGAGCCTGTAAATCATCCGTCTTTCCCCCAAGGAGTAGCTAGTAGATTCGAACAGTTAGTCTTTGTGTTCGCAGGCAACTCCCTCACTAGGTCACTAGAGATAATTGTGTATAGAAATAAATTTTCATTAATGTTATAAAATGAAATAGTTTTGTATGATTAAATCACTCAAAATTATTTGTAAGCTTTCTCTTAAATAAAATATAAAATACCAATAAAAAGATTGGACCTCCTGAATTAGGAAATCAAATAGTAAATAAAGTCAGAGCCTTCTTTGTCTGAAAGCCATCTTCAGTACATTCTTAGGCTACAGAGCTGCCAAAGGAGACGGGGGTGGGAGTGGAACCACAATGCAAAGCCAACAGATTCAGGAATAGGGAGCTGGATGGTGAAGAAATGACAGCGAGGAGATGGAAAAGCCTGGTGGTTTTCAAAGGTGTGCGTTCTAAGTGTAACTCAGAAAGTAGAAGATGTTCTAAGGTAATTGAAGTGGTAAAGATACTGATAATAAAATAAAGTAATAAAAGGAAGAGAAAGTACAAAAATAATTAAGATATTGTTTCTAAGTAGATGATGGGCAAAGGTTAAGGGAGGGAGTGTTTTTTGTATATTGTTAGATTATATTTCCATGTCTTACAGATCTACAAAGCGGATGTGAAGTAACACGAGATAATGTGTTAATAAAGAAAATTCAAGTTCACTCACGTTTTGCTCTACTTAATGAGAGAGTGAAGAGATTTTATTTTAGCTAAATGTAAAAATTTGAAGATCAACTAAATTTTTAAAATTGTTGTGTGTCTTAGATTTTTTTAAAAAATCTTGCCTAATGTTATATACTTTAAATGCATTAGACACTGAAAGAGGGTTAAATAATGTATTTTAAGCACTTAACTCTGTTTATAACATGGAAAATTGTTTGTTAATGTACATTTTTTAAAAGAAACAGATAATTAACAATTCTTCCTTGATATTACTATTATATGTTCCCTGAATTTAAAAAGAAAGCAAGACATGAAAATAAGCAAAAAGAATACTTACAAATCTGATAAATAGTATTAATATTGATTTTGACTTGTCATATTCTATATTTTATACTCAAATCTGTTATTGTACTTATGAATAAATGTATTTAATCCAGAATTAGAAAAACTGAGAGCACAAGAAAATATTTTAATGTATGCTGAAAATAATTCATATTTTTGATGCTGCATTTTATTCTCTGTAAAAGAAAATACAAGTAGAATTTGTTTTTTTACTAATTGTTGTTGTTGTGTATTGTAGAGTCAGAACCGAACCACAGCTGACTTTCCAGTGAGTTTTCAGAGGCAGTTAATCACATGGGAGGAGATTGCCCTTTCTCCCAAGGAGCAGCTGGTGGCCTCGAACCGTGTGCCTTTGGGATTGCTACACAGAGTCTTGCCATTAGGCTACCAGAGCTGAAACCAATTCTTTCTTTTATAATTCCACCGTGGATTAGAATTTCTGTCTGAACCAAACCCCTCGGTTGAAATGACCTCCAGCCATGATAGGATTCTACTTGAATTCAACATGAGATCCTGGTGAACTCCATGCTGCACAGAGTATGGCAAGGTTTAATTCTTTTTGTACACAAGTTTGCTGTGAGTTAGAGCTAACTCAAAGATAGCTAACGACAGCAGTTAATGGTGATCCAGGGATCTTCTGATAAGTACAACTGATCACTTCCCATAGAACACAGATAAATCAGATCCCATACCAGTGGAGAGCTTTTTATAGAATTGTCCATCTATTTCATGGCCAAAAGCAATCATTCATCAGTGACTGAGTTCATCCTCTTAGGACTCACAGATAAGCCACAGCTTCAAGCCATTCTTTTTGGTGTCTTCCTAGTGATTTACTTAGTTACTGCCCTGGGGAATCTTGGTTTGATTGTGCTAATTCAAATCAGTCCTTCCCTTCAAACACCCATGTATTTTTTCCTCTGCCATTTGGCTTTTGTTGATTTTTATGGTACCTCCTCCATTACCCCAAATACCCTGGTGAACTTTTTGCGTGAAATTAAAAGTATGCACTTTTATGCTTGTGCTACTCAGGTATGTTGCTTTATTATGTTTTCAGTTTGGGAATTATTCCTGCTTTCTGTCATGGCATATGATAGATATGTGGCAATCTGCAATCCATTGCTCTACGTAGTTCTCATGCCTAGGAAACTCTGTATTCAAATGGTCTCCAGCATATATATCTATGGAATCACTGTGGGTGTGGTACAGGTAGTGGCTACATTCCACATGTCTTTCTGTGATTCTAACATGGTCAATCAGTTCTACTGTGATGATGTCCCCTTGATAGCCCTGGCTTGTTCAGACACACACGTCAAGGAGCTGATGCTATTAATCATTGCTGGATTCAATATGCTCTTCTCTCTTATCATTGTTCTCATCTCCTATGTGTTTATTCTCTTTGCCATTCTGAAGATTCACTCTGCTGAAGGAAGACATAAAGCTTTTTCTACCTGTGCCTCTCACTTATTTTCAATTACAATATACTATGGGACTTTAATTTTTATGTATCTACAGCCCAAGTCAAGCCATTCACTGGACAAAGACAAATTTGCTTCAGTGTTTTATGCTGTGGTAATTCCCTTGCTCAACCCATTGATCTACAGTTTGAGGAATCAGGAAGTAAAAAATTCCTTGAAAAGGATTATTGAAAAGCTGTATCATAATAATTAGTATTGAGTTAACTTGGTTTGTGTTAAGTGTGCTTATATGTATATACAGTTAATTTAAGGTCTGTATTTTCATTACATAAATCAGGAAAACACATCAAAAGACAATTGAACATTAAAAAAAATAGTCAAAGAGGAGATGTTTAGTCAAGGCTTGTTTAAACGCACAGTGGTAACGTGAGGTCTTTGATCCTCAGTATCCCCAAATCTCATTCTCATGAATAAATGTTAATATTTTTCTTTGTTTTATCCTTTTTATTTGTTTATAAAGAATAGCAATTTTGTAAGTACTTGATTGGTATTTATGATTGACTATTTTCTTCACACTAAAATCAATTTTGGGGTGGCTAATCTTTATTATTATACAATATATTTATTTTGAAATTATATTATCTGAATTACTGTACCAATTATTATACATGGTAATTTTAAAGTTATTGGATGGCTTTTACATATTACGATTGTTGTTGTTGTTGTTGTTATGTGCCATCGAGTCGTTTCCAACTCATAGCGACCCTATGCACAACAGCTCTAAACCCTGCTCTATCCTGCGCGAACTGCACTGCCTCTGACACACCCATCCCGATTACCCCAGTCACTGAATCAATCCATCTCATAGAGGGTCTTCCCCTCCTGCGTTGTCCCTCAACCCTCCCAAGCATGATGTCCCTCTCCAAGGACCCGTCCCTCCTGGCAACATGTCCAAAGTATGTCAGACAAAGCCCCAGAATCCTTGTCTCCAAGGAGCAGCTTGGTTTAATCCTCTCCAAAATGAATCTGTTTGTTTTCCTGGCAGTCCATGGTACATTCAGTACTCTTCTCCAGCACCACAGCTCAAAAGCATCCACTCTCCTTCTGTCCTCCCTAGTCATTGTCCAACTCTCTGATGCATAACAAGCGATTGCAAATACCATGACGTGTATCAGGCGCACCTTAGTCTCCAGAGAGACACTGTTGCTCCTGAGTACCTTTGAGAGGTCCCTAACGGCAGACTTTCCCGTCGCAATACGCTTTTTGATTTCCTGACTGCTGGTACCAAGAGTGTTGACTGTGGAACCGAGCAAAGTGAAGCTGTGAATTAGGGAAGGAAAATCCATATAAAAGTATGTGCATTGGTTCAGTACAGCAATGCATCTCCTGGTCTCTTGAATCCTGGCACCAAGAGTTTTGATTGTGAATCCAATCAAGATGAAATCTATATAGAACTCTATTGAACTCTTTTATATTGCTTTCAAGACTGTAATATTTATGAAAGTTCACTGTCATAACGTCAATAATGGGACCATCTAAAGATTAAGTGCCTGTGTGTATCAAAAAATTTTCCCACAGAGTGAAAAAAAAAACCCTACTGACTGCAGAAAAAATATTTGGCAATGCCATCTCAGACAAGGGTCTCATATTAAAAGTTTATAGCATACTACAAGGTCTCTACAAGAAAAAAGCTGATAATTCAATTACAAAATGGGCAAAAGACATGAAAAGACTTCAAAGATAAAGACATCTCAGTGTCCGACTGACATATGAAGAAATGCTCAAAATTACTAGAATAAGAGAGTGCAAATACATGCTACGATGAGATTCCACCTCACCCCAGTAGCAGTGGCAAAGTTTAACAGAACAGCAAGCAATAAATATTGGAGAGGATATGGAGAGATTGTAACATTCATAAACTGTTGGTATGATTATAAAATGGTACAACCACTCTGGAAGACAGTTTGATGTTTCTTCAAAAAACTGAATGAGGAAATTCCATGTCTCAGCTGTGCCACTGCTAGAAATATACACCAAGGAAAATAAAACAGAGGTGTTGAGATTTGTAAACAATTGTTACAGCAGCATTATTCACAATAACAAGGAAATGGAAATAGCCCAAATGTCCATCATAGACTAAAGGATTGAAAAAATGTGGTATATTCACACAATGGAATACTATGCAGCATTTGGGAGCAACAATTCCAAAAACTATGATAAAACATGGAAAAAGCTAGAAAGTGTTATGCTGAGCAAACTAACTCAGACTCAAAAGGACAAATACTACATAAGACTATTATGGTAAAAATAGAAGAAGAATTATTAAGAGGCAGTTTTGTGGGAAGAGGGAGGGGCGAAGGAAATACCCATTAAGGACCTGACAAGATGGGGTAATAGTAGGCAGAGGTCGATTGTAATTAATATTTTGAAACACAATGTATGAGAATGATGATCTGAAACACAATGTAAATGAAGGAATGTGTGAAACACACAATGTATATGAATTTTCTATGCAAATCAATAAATTAAAAAAAACAAAACAAAACAAAACAACCCAACACTCAGATGTATAAGGAAGGGGAACAAAGCAATTTTAGAGAACTAAAAATAAAAACAAACAAAAACACAAAAAAACTCAGCAATACCACTTTCACCTCATTATTCTTCAGAGCGAATGATGAGTTCAATCACTGACCTTTTGATTGACAGCTGGGTTTTTAACCACTGTGCAACCAAGAATGATTTATTATTTTGTGTGTGTGTACTGTCAAATCAGATCTGACTGGTACAGGAGGAGATTGCCCTTCCTTCTCCAGCAGAGCATCTGGAAGAAGGATATTCTTAAGAACCAGAGAAATAATGCTTCTTGGGAAAAATACATTAAATAAGATTAATTTCTGTGTTTGGATTTGTTTGTATTAAAAGGAGATACATATAACTTTTTTTGTTTACTGTTCTATTTATTTTTTACCCCATGTGTGTGAAATAGGAATGAATGACATCCATTAGAGGAAATAAACAAGAAAATGAAGTGCTTTTGTTAGTTTATTATCTTATCTGTGATTACTTGCTCGTGTTGAAGATCTGAGATTAAATGATACATATTAGTAAACTAATAATGAAATTCACAGTAATTACCACTTATAATGAGTGGAATTATTCATCTAGAAGTGCATCATTTGTTAGTTTAATACAAATGATAGTTTTTAGTCATCTCACAAAATTCCACAGAGGGATGTTATATTTTGATCAAACGTATACGATGAACCTTCACTGAAATTCATAAATTGAGACTAATTTTAAAGTATACAAATTCAAACAGGGTAAACGTTTTCCATGTTGTTTTCCAAAATGTTGAGATGATCTTTATTAGTAATTATTCTTTTTTAAAAAAGATTTATTATTTTGTGTGTGTGTACCATCAAATCATATCTGACAGAAGGAGACTACAATAGGAGCAGAGCATCTAGTGGATTCAAACCACACACCTCTGGGATTGCAGTACAACTTCTTGCCACTAGGGCACCAGAGCTCACCTATCAGTAAATAATCTTGATGACACTTGTGCTCACTAAGAAGATATGCCGTTTCAAGTGGTTTTTTTCTTGCCCAAAAGACAAGTTACATCTCAAAAGATCAACAACAGCCTAATTGGGCATGTTTGTGAGATACTATTGCATTTCTTTTCAGAAACTAAAAAAATAATGTAATATAAGGAAAAAGTTCTAGAGAGACTAACAAAACATACAAAATGTACTAAAAAGACTTAATGGTTAATATTCTTGACATTTCCAGAATTCAGTTTAATTGTTTTTATTTTTTCTTTTTGTTGTAGCTACTAAAAAAATATCATGGAGTAAAAAAACTTTCAAGGTAATAAAAATAGTAACAAATCTTGGAGTAACACAAAATTTTTAGATTTGTTTATTTAGTTATTCTACAAGTTCATTTAGAGTGTCTACAAATTTTTAGGTATCAGAGGTAAAATGGAGAAATTTAGAACCATCTTGACCAGCCAAGGATTTGAAATTTAGAGTAAGATACAGACAAATTAACAAGTGGGCAAATTGTTCAGAACAATACATAAATTATTTCTGAGAATGAGCTCTGAGGAGGTTTATGGGAATGTCTCCAAGGCCAAAAGCAATTATTCATCAGTAACTGATTTCATCCTCTAGAAATTTACAGATAGCCTAAAGCTTCAATCCTCTTTGTCATCTTTCTAGTGTACTATTTAGTGCCATTGGTAATCTGGGTTTAATTGTGCGAATCCAGATCACTCTTCAACTTCGGCTCCCATGTTTGCTTGTTTGTTTGTTTTTTCTCAACCATCTGATTCATGGTTTGTTTGTTTGTTTTTGTTTTTACTTCAAGTATCACTATAAACACCATAGTGAACTTTTTTGAGAAGTTAAAAGCATAAGATTTTATGCTGGTGCTACTCATGCTCATTGCTTTTTCACATTTGTAGTTTTTAAATTCTACGTACTCACAATCATGGCATATGACAGATATGTTGCATCTGCAATCCCTTACTCTATGTCATTCTCATGCCTAGAAAACTATGTGTTCAAATGGTGACCAAATTTTACTGCAGATCTTACCCAGACAATAGGGGCATTTCTTTAGTCCTGCTAGTCCTTTCATGACCACAATGTAGTCAACCACTTCTACTATGTTGATGTTACTTTGGTTGTTTGGGCCTGCTCTGCCATCCATATTAAAGAATTGATATTTAGTCAATAACCCAGATAATAATTGCTGGGTTCAATACACTCTGGTTTCTCCTGATTGGGTTAATTTCTTATGGCTTCATTCCCTTTAGCGTCCTGAGGATCCACTCTGCTGAAGGAAAGCAGAAAGCTTTCTCTACCTGTACTTCCCACCTGACCTCCGTCACAGTATTTGATGGGACCATCATTTTTATGTATCTACAGCCCAAGCCAGGAAGCTTGGAAGCAGGAGTGGCATCCACTTCCCAAACAGCTTGCCTCCAGAAACTCCATTAACTTGGAGAAACAATCAAAGTTATACAAACGTTCAGGTCTTTTGTTCACAGGGTCACTATGAGTTGTCTATGACTTGATGGCACTCAACAACAACAACAACATAGAGAGAGCTCTGTTGGCCTAGTGGATAGAAAGTTATGCTACCAAGCCAAAGGTGGTGATTTTAATCTGCGGCCCTCAGGCCTGGTTTTAATTGTTTTTGGTCAAACATTCTTCTAAGCAGTATAGGACTGGTCTGTCCATT